GAGATTGCAATCTCTTTGTTTTAACTGGAACTGTAATTGCTGGAAAAGGGAAGGAATGCTTATGCTCAATAATGAAAAGATGAAGAGAGAAATAACTTATTCAAGGTAAAATTGCTTACCATCTTTATTCATGCAGATTTCTGTAATGTTTCCATTGTCTTTGTGCCTCTCTCAGTGAGATTTTATCTTCTGCATCCATTAGTGACTTTCTGTTTAATTTCCCTTGTGATATTCCCCAAAGTTATTAACAGGTCAGTCTCCATTGGCAGCACAGAACAGCCATTGACGATTAGAGGTTTTTCTGTACTCCCTAGGACCGTACTATTCTAGATGAAGAGTTCTATAGAGAACAAATGCTGATCTGATTTGGAGGCTCAATAATAATAGAGAATAATTTTTGGGCACCAAACTCTCTGTCAGTTTTAAACTAATGGAGATCTGAAATCTCTACACACTACTGCAATTTCGTATAAGTTTAAGGTTGCCGTGTTTTGATGCATATTTATTTATGTATTTGTTTTTATTTTTTTAAAGCATTTGTGCAGCAGCTCATCTTAAAACCAAACTCTGGTGGCTTATATCCCAACCATAATAAAAACATAGTATATGGATGAACCCCCCCCCCCAAAAAAACTATATTTCTAGTAATTATCCACACGTAATCTACAACGGTAGGAAATTATCAGTTTGCTGGGTATCCTCTATTTCAGGATTTCCAAGCTGTGCTCAGAAAAGGTTGTCCCTCTCTCTCTCTCTCTCTTCTTCAGTTTCTTCATGTTTCACTGGCACTGTTGAGGCTGCTATAATGTTCTACCATCTATTCTAGTTGTCTGTTGAAATGAGTTCAATATACCATAATACACAACATTTGATATTCATCGAACACGTTTTGATTTTTTACAGAAATAGCTCTAGAGTTATGTATTTCAGTTTGTAAATTCTACCTGACTCAGAATCACCATCCCTGCTATTTTTTTTTTTTTTAATAGTTATGGAAATATCTTATTCAGGTTGGGATTAGCCAGATTCCATTTTTTTGTCAAGCGGATTACGCTGGGGGGAAAAAAGAAACTTTGGCTGAGTAAGGCTGAATAAGTAAAGAAGTAAAGAAGATCTATATGGCAACAAGGGAAAAGCAAGACGAAACACTGTGGGGAAAGGCTTTGCTTTCTATGCTGTTGCTTAGCTAAATTAAGGTGTTTTGATTTCTGCTGCTGCTTATTTTCATCTCTCTCTCTCCTTAAATAACAGTACCTGAACAATCATTCCTCTATAACAACTGAAACATATAAGGTATTTTGTTGTCACTGAAATTGAAAAGGAAAGGGAAGGGAAGACTTATGAATATTTAAAGGAAAAAAGGGGGGAAAATAGTGTATAATTCAAAATAAAAGTAAGTGCATGACTTACCATCTTCATCCATCTTTAGTCGTAGAGATTTCTTTATCTTTTTCCTATTGTCTTTCTAAAAGTACCGGTAAGATCTTATACTGTGTAGCATTTCAATAAGACTGGATCTAATTTTTCTTATTATTTCCCCAAGGATTTAAAGGGGAAAACAAAAACAAAAACTGTCTCCTTAGACAGAACAAAATAGCCACTGTGTTATGGATTCAAAAACAAAACAATAAACAACAACAACAACAAACTCTCCTGAGGTCATTGCCCAAGGGTCTGTATTATTTTAATGTTGAGGGCAGGACTAATTTGCAGGCTCAATAATATTATATATATTATATATATATATACTCACTAAATATAACTCTCGCCGTCATGGATCACTGCCTTGTCGTGGCGAAGGGGCTTGTGTAACTCAGTGATTGAACAAGAACAGCAAAATATAACTCTATCAGATTAATTTGCAGGCTCAATTATAAACACACACACACACTAAATCTGTCAGTTTTTAAGTAATCAGAATCTAAAATGTCTCAATTTTATAGTGCTTTATGATAACATTAAGGATGGCATGTTATTGCCCCTTTCTATGATATATTTTGCTATTATGGATTGGGAGGTTCAACTTTTATCTTTATCTATCTTTTATTAGAGATTTTTACACATTAAAACATAAACATGAAAAAATGTAGAAAATGAGGTTAGGAAAGAATGAAAGATAGAGGAAAAGTGCAGAAACTAAAAAAGAAAGAAGGAAAAAGATATTTAAAGAAGTGACTTCTTATATC